TTTATTTAGTTAACAAGAAATAAATTATAAGTTTTATATTTGCAAAATGTTAAGAGTGTTTATTATTGTTATTAAATGTATTTTAAATACAATGTTAAGAACTTGTTGGAATCTGTTCTTTTTCCAAGGCATTTTTATGCTCTTTATATAGGAAAATATAATTAAAGAAAATCTATGATATTTATAATACTACTGACAATAATAACAGAGTTAACAGAGTTGCTAATTATGTAAAATATGTTATAAATGATAATAATAATATAAATAATAGAAATATAATAAACAATATATGTGTTCTATTTGACAGATATGGCAGATTTGGCAGATTTGTCTTATATGACTGTCCTGTCAGTTTCTGCCAGTTTCAACAGTTAATAATTTTAAATGAAGTTTATAAATGAATATCCTTTAAATATCAGAATGTTTTTTTTTGATCATGTAAATAAATAATAATATTTATTTTAATAATAATATTAATTTATTTCAAATAAAAATTAATAAATAAGTTTAAATAATATAAAAAATTGGTTATGTTTTTTTATTATCTAAACAATCAGAAAGACTTAAAGAAATATAAAGAGAACATAGTAAAAAAAGTAATAAAAATAAAAATTCTGATAATGAAAAATTAATTGAAATAAATATAACAATTATACTTAAAAATATAAATGAAGTACAAACTTATAGAATTTTAAATATATTTTATGAAAATGATTACTTGAATTAAAAAAATCAATAATTATTTAAATACAATTTTATATCTTATAGAAAATGAATAATAGACTTGATAAATTAAGTTTACAATAAATTATGATATGTAATAAAGAATAGATACTTTAAAAGAATTATGTAAATTATTTAAACTATTTGATTATGTAATAATATTATCAATATTACTAATTATCAAAGCATTAAAAGTAATTTTAATAAAAAATTAAAGAAAAATTTAAAATTAATTTTGAAGATTTAGAGGATGAAAATAATAATAATAAAAATAATAATAATGATGATAAATTTAATATATTTATTATAATTTTATTATTATATTAATATATTAAATTTATATATTTTTTATAAAAATTATAGAAGATTTTTTGTCTAACAATTATATCTTTGAAGATACTATAGATTCAGATTTAGAAATAGATAAAATTAATAAATTACTTATTAATAGACCTATTAAACATAATTTAAAAAGTTTAAAAAATTAACTTAAATAAAAATTCAAAAAATATGTAATTTTAATCAAATCTTACTGAAACTGAACAAATAATTAAAAAGGTATTAGAAATAATTATAAAATCACTTAATTATTATTGGAAAAACCTAATAAAATTGGACTTATTTTAACAATATTAGATTCAAGATATAAAATTTTAGTTTTTTATTAAATAGTGAGATTTAATTAGAAATTAAAATTAAATATAAAGTTTATATAAAAATTTAAAATATAAATTATACTTAAATAATGATTCTTTTAAAATACAAATAAATAAATGAAAATTTTCTAAATGATTCAATATTTAATACACATTTTGGAAGTGAAGATCAATAATATAATAATAAAATGAATAAGATAGATAATTATTTTAATGAAAGAAAAATATGTCATAAAACCAATCCTTTTATATGATGAAATAATAATAAACAAAAATATTCTATATTAGCAATAATAGCACATAAATACTTATCTATTTTAGCAATATTAAAATTTCAAGTAAATGATTTTTCTCAGATGCTAGAAATATTATGAATACCTTTAAGTTCAAAATTTTTTAAAAAATTCTTTTTATTAAAAGAAAACTAAAATATATAGATATGTTACTTTATAATATTATTAAATTTTTTTTAAATTATAATTTAGAAATAAACTTATTATAAATTTATTATATATATTTATAAATAATTTTTATAAAATTAAAAAAAAAGTTTGTTTTAATTTAATACTATTATAGAGTATTAAATAAAATTTATGATAAAATTTGTTATATTAATATCATAGTTAGAGCTCTGAATTTGACCTGACAGATCGGATGACCTGAAGGGTCAACCCGAAAAGCTCGGGTCAAGTCAGATGTGGTACCCGACCTGACCCTACCTGAATTTTTTAATTAAAAATTCAAAATTTAATAACTTCGTCAATATTGATCCGTTATCATAAAATATATGTATCGTTAAATTATCATTTTTACTTTTTTTAACATTATCATTATAATGTTGTCTTTCAAGATTAACAGCCACACGATATTTCTTATATTGTATTTTACTTTTTTCAAAACTTTCATTATCATTGTTTGAAATTTGTAATTGACAAATTTTTCATTGTAGTTATTCATTGTAATTTTAATCTTAACCAAGACGAAAAAGCTTCTGAATCAGAATTTTTTATATTGTTTGTAATTATTCATAATATTTTGGACTTTCTTTGTTACCAATTAAAGAATCTAATTACAATATTTTTGTGATCTTGCGAAATGACTTAAAAAAAAAATTTTATCACCATCGAAAACTTCATTTAATAAATTTTTTTTTTTAAAAAAAACTTCAAATCAACGTCAAATAAATAAAGATTTAAAAAACTGCTTCTAAAGTATGCACTTCTTTAAAATAATCCGTCTCCATTACATCCTTTTTGCCACTGGTGTTTAATAAGAATTATTTTTTTTTTAAAAATAAAATTAAAGTTTGTTAAATTTAAACAAGTAAATTATTATTAAAGTAAATTCGCAATAACAATGATTGCGTCAAAAAAACATGAAAAATAATATCAAAAACGTCAAATTATTATTCTTGAACCATTTATCTAATTATTTACCATTTTATTATTTTTTACCATGCCAAAAATATTAGTTCAACAATAAAATAGATTTGTGAAATAAAAAATTGCGAATCTTAAATGATTTTTTTATTTTAACTTCAAAGTTTATTTTTTAGGAAATTTATTTTCGGCTGCTGACTAAATGAGTAAGGTTTGAGCATATTTATCAATTCTTTGTAATCGATATTTTCGATCTTTATAGTTATTAGTAACGGTTTCGAAAGTTCAAACACCTCGGAGTTATAAGTTGGGAGGGCGTCATTAAAAAAAAGGTTGGAAAATCTGTTAATTTTGTGCACGACTGTAATCGTTGAAGTACATGTAAAAAATTTTAATCGAAGTTTAGATTTCCCTCTTTTCTATTGAATATCGCTCAAAGTTGTTCAACGTCAAAAATTTACAGTATATACAATTATTTTGTTAATAGAACTGTGCTACGAACACATCGTTGCTTTACATTTACAAAAATATCATTGTTTATGTCATACTGTATGTCGTCAATCATTTTTCGTAAAAAGAAAAGACAATAACATTTAACAAAATTTTTTTCTTTTATATATATTTATACAATGTCTGAAAGTAACGATAAAGGTAAATTTGTAAAGACTTTAAATATATTTACATAAAATAGTTTTTTCTTTTTTTTTTAAAAAAAAAAAAAAATTGCAAAGCATTAATTAGAGGAGGCTTCGGATGATAAGAAAACTTCTTTATTAGAAGAATTAGAAGATAACACATTAGAACCAGTTTCTAACGATGAAGTTAATCATATCATTTCTAACCAGATATTAAACGATTCTCAATTTTATTGCAACATTATCAGGTTTTGGCAATAACGATTTCATGTTTGAAGGTAGATATTAATTTTCACTATAAATTCATAAATTTGCAATACATTTATAAACTTTTTATGTTTGAAGGTAAGAATATGTATATTGAGAAAATTTTTAATGATAAAGGTAAATACAATAATTTGGAATTTATTTGACAGTTAAATCTGAGAGTATATACTTAAAATATAAAAATAATCACATTAAAGTACTAAATTAGCATCCTTATTGGAGCTAATAGAAGATAATATTTATCACATTTTAATAATTCATAATTTTTGTTTGCTAAAATTAAATTTTATCAAATTTATATATAGAATCAGTTCCAATAGATAAAGGTAATACAACAAATTCTAAATATTTAACTAATATCAAAGAATTTATTAATTGTATTTTATAATATATAATTAACCTTAGGTAAATATAATAATAATTACACTGATTTATTTACAAAAAATTTTAATAAATTCTAAAAATATAATATTAGTTTCAAGTGATAAAGGTAAATAAAATATCAATATTATTAATTAACAAATATTATGATCTATTAATTATACTTAATAATTTTAAATATTAGAAAAATTAAATGGTAAAAAACATTTATAAATTGTTTAAATATTAAAATTTTATATTTAGTAATTAATTTTAAAATTTCTTAAAATAATACATACATTATAATAGAATTCGTTACAAATGCTTCAGATACCCCAACATTAGAAGAATTAAATAATAAAGAACTTTATTTATTAATTATTTATTTATAAAATTAAATTATAATTCTTTTATTTATATTATTTTATTAAATAAATGATGATGCTTAGATTGTAAGTTATTTAATTTTATTATTTAATTATATAATTAAATTTAATTAATCTATTATTTAAATATAGGGAGTAAGTTATTTATTTTTTTTATTTTAATTTAAACTTAATTTATTTTATAAAATATTTAATAATTAATAATATTTAGTTGGTAAATAAATATATTTTATTATTAATCTAGATTTGTTTATATTATTTATAATAATAAAACTTTTTTTTATTTAGATGGTAAATTATTTTTCATTAATTTTATATAATATAAATAAAAAATATTAATATTTTTTATAATATTATAGAAAGTAAGATATTAATTAATTAATTAATTATACCTTTACTACAATTTTAAATACAACTAAATTTTTATTTAAATAAATATTAATAATTAATTATATAATAGATGGTAAATTATTTTTATTGATTATCAGTATTTAATTATACTTTTTATTATAATTTAAACTTAATTAAATTTTTTATTTAAAAAATATTTAATAATTTAGATTGTAAGTTATTTTATTGATTATTAATATTTAATTATATGTTTTTTATAATTTAAAATAATTAAATATTTTATTTATAAATATATATTACTAAAGGGGGTAATAAGTTATCTTTATTGGTTATTAGTATATAATATACTTTTTATTGTAATTTAAACATAACTAAATTTTTTTATTTAAAAATATTTAATTATCAATAATTTAATAGATGATAAGATATGTTTTATTGATTATGAGTATTTAATTATACTTTTATCATAATTTAAATTAACTAAATTTTTTATTTTAAAAAAAAAATTAATAATTAATAATATAATAGATAGTAAGTAATTTTTATTGATCATATTATAAATAATTTGTGGCTTGATTCCTAATTACTTAAGTTTAAAGTAACTGCAGATTACAGATACTATTATTATGATTGTCATAATTATAATAAGAAATTAACTATGGTTAATAGTTTTTAATAAATTTTAGTAGTATATTTTAAGTTACGCTGAATTTTCTTAACGATTACAATTTTAATGTAATGAAAAAAAATAAAATAATAATATACAAACAAGGCAACGTAGTAATAAAGTAAAAAAAAAAATCTAAGAAAATGTTATTTCAGTTAATGATAATAATCATGAAAACGATAATTCTAATAATAATAATCAACAAAATGAAAATTCTAATGATAATATCCAAAAAAAATGATAATTTTATAAATCTACCAATAAAAAAACCACAAAATAAAAGAAAATAAATTCTTGAAGCAAATAATATTTCTCGAAATGATAAAAAAATACAGCCCAATGGTAATTTATTTATTCATATGAACCAACTCAAAAAAAAATTCAATCATCACAATTTCAAAATAATATTAACGAAATTTATAGCAGTAACTTCAAGCGAGGGAGCTATCCGAGAAGTGATGGAAAAATTTACTAATATTTCACAAAAAAGATCAATTTCGAAAAGAAAAGCGAAGAATTTTATTCTTTCATTATGTTCCTTATGATTCCTCCGTAGTATCAACATAATTTCTTGATAAGAAAATCCTGATTAATTATGTGTAAAGACTTAGAATTTTGTGGATCCACTTTCATATATTCCAGCGTAGCGTATTCGGAAAATGTTGGTTCCATTTGGATTTCCATGATGGTCCGAAATAAATTTAAAAATAAAATTACTACATTAAATGTAGCAACCTCAGCCTTTATATACCTCATGTCCAGTTCGTTCATAATGCAAAATCATGTCCGCTTCTAAAAAAAGAAGAAAAGAAAGTTAGTAAAAAGAAGAATTTATCATTAAAAGAACCAACTTACCTTTCAAAGAGAACGAAATAAAGAAAAAATCTCTTAAGTATGCCAATTAATTATGAAAGAACTCTTACCTGCTCTAAATTAAAAAAAATAAATAGTTAAAAAATGTAATTTAATAATTGCGATATTAGATAATATCGATATACTTAATTAAAAAAAGTATAAATATAATTAAAAAATTAAAAAATTCAAATAACCGAATTAATATAAAAAAATTAGAAAATCTATCTATAATTAGCCGACCTGAACTTTGTCATGAGGAAGTCTGACATACTGAAAATAGAGTAATTTAAGAAAATTAAATACATATATGAATGATCTCTTTTTAGAAGAAAAATAAAATGGGTGAAGTAGGTAGAATGTAATGCGGTTTGTATTGTGAAATATGACCCCGAAATATCCTTGAAATAACCTATGACATCAAATAACATCAATTATATTACTAACATGACAAGGTCATTTGAAAAATATTTAATGAACTTTAATTTGGCATAAATACATAAAGATTTTGCTTCATAATATTGTAATTTTTTTATCCCATCGGTATTATGTATACACCGGTAGAATTTTTTGTTACTTACTACACGGGTTTATAATAAGTATATAAATACTGAATATTAATAAATTTATATTAAAGCAATGCATATTGAAGATATTAATTTTTATGATATTAGTAAATAATACAAATTAGTAATGAATATGAAAATGCACATCCGTGACTGAAATAAATATCTTGCTAATAATAATAATAAACTTGCATAAAAATTCTTTCAAGTATCATATTCGTTAATATTTTTTGTTAAATTAGCCTCTTTATTAAATTTATCAACCATACAAAGTCACTTTAAGTTACACTTGTTTGTATTTTTTATTCTTGAAAGTTGTTGAAGCTGAAATATTTCATCATTTGTAGGAATAGAATTCATCCATTATGATAGAAAGATTTTAATTTTGTAAAAGGGAAAAAAGGAGTGAAATTGAGAAAGAGATATATTCAATTAATTAAAATTCTACCGGTGTACACAATGAGATAAGCCTGTTATTCCATACTTCGTTACGGATTACTTAGGTTATTCCGAGTTAATATGAAAATCACTTGCGCTTACGCGCATGTGATTTTTATATATAACCCGTGAATAACCTAGTTATCCGTAACGAAGTATGGAATAACAAGTATATATGTACATTAATAAAAGACTTCATTTCAGAACATGATCGAAATGCATGAGATGGAGGACGGTTCAAAAGAGCGACTCAAAGTCGGTTCTGGAATCGATTCTAAATTCAGCATATTCTGAGTATACCAGAGTTACTCACCATTTTTAAAATCGAACCGGAACCGGCTCCGGACTTGCTAAAAGAGTCATAGTTATAAAACCGAATATATTTGGTAAACAGTCAATAAAAATTTTTTAATTGTACTATATTGTAATTTAACTCGACTCTCCTAGTCTTAATTTACTAGAGGAACCAAGAGAACCGTTCCATCACTAAGAATGTATGAATTTTATACAAAATTCCTTTATAAAACTTTACTATTATGCAAACTGATGATATCATAAATAATGAAAGTTAAAAACGAATTAATATGTTAAATCTCCCGGAGCAATGCGACTACGCTAGAGGTTCGAACCGGTTAAAAATTTTCTTTAACCGGTTAACATGGAACGGTTCCAACCTCTACCTTATGCAGTACCAGACCTGTACACTAGTAAATTTCTGATAATTAGTTATGGAAAAGCTTTGGAACTAGAGATTGGAACCGGTTAATTTTTAACCGGTTAATTAACCTGTTAAAGCGGTTATCCGGTTAATGATCATTTTTAACCGGTTAAAATAAGATGAATTTAACTCCGGTCGAAATTCAATTTCCGGCCAGAATTAAAATTTTTATGATTGCCTAGCTCCAGCAAAATTTATAGTACTGGCCTAAGTTAATTTAACCGGTTAATTACCGGTTAACGAATATTTTAACCGGTCATTAACCGGTTAAAGAATATTTGGCCGGTTCCAACTTCTATTTGGAACTGATTTCATTGATTGTGATATTGACTGCATCTGTCCTGCCTGGATTAAGATTTTAAAATTTTATTAATTATTATATTAGCGATCCTGAGAAAGGAATTTAGTTTTGCTTGACTACGTATACATGTGCAATGAACATTATATCAAATATGTGTGCATATATAAAAATATTATTCAAGAATATTGATAACGCAAAATTGTAAATATTTTTTTTTGAATTTCAGATCAATATAAAAAAAAAGTTACCGTCGAGAATTTACTTGTGATAAATTGTCCCGAAGTCATGTACTGTAATTATATATTTTGTCAATATGCAATTAATTAATCTTGCATTTATATATTGCTATAACAATAACTTTTCCTTACGTCCTAGAGGTTGTGTAAGTTCTTTTGAACGCATTAAATTTTTACTTATATCTATTTAATTACTAGTCTATTTCAGATGAGACTTGCGGCTTCAAAATTAGCACTCCTTCTTTTGGCTTAAATTTCTACAATTTAGAGAATAAGTTTATTGATTAAAATAAAATAATATTTTTGCTGCAGTTTTAATAAATCAAATTCCTTTTTTTTTTCCATTTTAATAAATTTAATTTGATCAGTCATACACGTAAAGTAACACAAGTATCGATCACTTCCAAATCGTTATTCTTCTAATAAATAAAATAAACAGATATTCCTATGTATGGTATGGTTGATCTATCTACGAATGAAAAATATAATTGAACAAATATTTTTTTTTTTTATCTTTGAGAAAATTCCTTAAGCGAAATTTTCATTTTTCATAATGGAGTTTTCAAATATTCAATCAAATAAATCTAAACAATTCATCGCAATAATCATATTGTCATTGTTCTTACACGTTACGTTTTGCGATATTCAATATATTAACAATATTAAAGATGATTTTGAAAATGATTTAATATTTGAAGAATCTAATTCAAATCAAGACGGAATGATTTTATTACGATTTTCTAAAAGAAACGATAATAATATATATTTAAAAATTATTCTCGTAAGTAGGTCAATTCTTTCTATTACAGTTGTTAATAAATCATTTCTTAGTTCAAAGATGATGAATGCAACTATTTTAAATGAAGAATATATTTTGATATTGTATGCGACACAAAATGATACATTTGATACATTTGATACATTTGGGTTGGTTTCGTCATGGAACGGAGATATAATTGAGTAAGTTTGTATAAATTATGTTTGATTATCTCGAAATTCAAAATATTTAATATTTCTTATAATTAAAATTTAAGCATTATCGATTTTGGAATTGTGTGGGATAATACTAGGCCAAAAAGTAATGTACCGAAAACAAACCTGCCATTTGGCCTATTTATTCATGAAGACGTATTCGCGTTTGCTGGCGTCAGAGGGAATGATGTTATTTGGAAAAGGTTTAAACTTCCGAATAAATCATATTCTAACAATAGAAATGTAACTCTTATAACCGAAGGGAGTATTTTGAATCCGTTATCTAATAGTACATTTTATCCTTCCAATGTGAAATATTTTCAACTTATCGATGGCGGATTTGGGATAGCTATAAGTTATCGTCATGGAATAGATAAATTCAATGTCGATGAAGTTTATGTAAACCTTTTGGAACCTAATGCAACTGAACCGTTAGGACCTTATTTATTACATCATGCATTCAAATTCAAAGACTATAAATTGCCAATTCTGATTGATGGTATGTAATTAATTTATTATAATTCATTTGTATTAAATGTCAAACAACAATAACATAATTATGTTCTTTACTGCCTAATTCTACAGATTGCATTATTAACTTTGATGGCACCGGATATACATGTACAATTTATGATCATTCAGAAAGTTCCCAAATTCGTTTTCTATCAAATGGCGCAGTTACTTCTGTTGGTTACACCAATATAGACGTTTATCAATATTATTATGGAAAATTTTTTTTTCCCAATTTTTATGGCGGATATGTCGGCTTTGTCCTCAACAACACTAATAATAAGATTGATTTTTATGATATTGATCATAATTATGAGGTCAATACTACTAGTACAAAAAATAAATATATTAATAGTTTAGATAATGTAACACATATAAATATAAATTTAATTCAAAAACAAAATGTTTTTTGGACTTTACGGGTATTTAATTATTATTTTACGATCGATTACTTTTCTTTAAATACTATTGATTCATCCGGTAAGGTTAACTCATTATGTTAATTTATTAAAATCAAAAAGCACTTTATTAACTTCCTATTTTACAGATTATCGTTACATGATTCAAAATCCAAATGTAAACAATACGTCACCGAGTATCAATGAAACTATTTATTTACCAAATGATAATTTACAATTGAAGATATTTTACAATATTCCTATAATTATATCAACCGGAAATTTGACGATATATCAATATGATGAGGAGGACAACTTGTCTCTAAGACAGATAATTTCTGGACAAAATTTTTATGATGATTGCGAAGTGCAAAACGATACGGTGTTAATCAACATTTTACCTAGCACATTTCACAAAGGCAATGCTAATTTTAGTGTTCGGGTTGATAATAATTTTGTCAAGTCTCGAAAAACACAAGAACCTTTACTCGGAATTTCTGAAAAGATATGGAGATTTTCAACTCGTAAGTTTTAATTATAAATTCCTAAATGCGTAAATTTATATTGATAACTTTATTAACTTTATCTTAGAATTGAAAGAACAAGATCAACCATCAGGTATATTTTTAAGACGTTTCATAAAAATAATTGTCATAATTAACTAACTATATTACTTTTTGCTTACTTCGATAGATCAATTAATCCTTTCCATTAAATTAAAATTTAATGATGAAATGCCTGGATATTATGATGAAGTAAATTCTCAAAACACTTATATATTTGGTCAACTTCAAAATGAATTATCTAAAATAATACCTATAAATTCACAAAGATTAGAAATTAATCATATTCAAAATTTAAATGCTGATCGGAAAGATCAGAAACAGGTTTTATTATCCATCGCTGTTAATAAACCAAATAATTATAGTACGGAACGAAATACTGAATCAGTAAAGAAAGATTTGGATGAATTAATTAAAAATATGGATTTTAATCTTATATCTCAAGGAAATATTACGAGATTTATAGATAAAGGTTATGGAGCTCAACCAACTCGTAAGTATATTAATTTTAAATAACAACTTTTCTAATTTATCATTTTTAACTTTATGAATTATTGTTCTTGAAATTATAGATGATTTTTGGTCAGTTGAATTAATTGTCAATATAATCGTGATTGCTATTGTGATTATTATTTATTGTTTGCTTCAATATTATAAGGTACAGTATATATATAAAATTAATAAATTCATTATTTAATATCATTCACAAATTATTAATGATTTTATTCTTTTTAGGGCAATTATTTCTTTATTATTAAGATCATTTTGATCGTTTATGATTTAATAATGGATATTGCTTTTCTTCTTTCTAATGCTGATGATATTCCTGGTTTACATATTTATAGGTAAGAATTTTTTTATAATTGTTTATTTTTCATAATTGCATATTATATTAATAACTTTGCTTAATTTTTTTTAGCTTTTTATCAATTATAATTCCAATAGCTTTTAATACAATTGTGGCTATATTTTTATTATGTTTGGAAATTAAATATAACAAAGATTTTAGAGATTGGTGTAGTGATAATGAATTAACCGTTGCATCATATGCAATATTATCATGTGCTGATGTAGAAGCTCTTCATATATTAAATACATTCATTAACGATGAAAATCCGAATCTTAGACTTGAATTATTCAGAGCTTTATTTTCGGCACCTAAATTTGAAAAAATCACTAAATGGGTAACTTATGCTGGTTGTTTTAATATTTTCTTGGAAGAAATTCCACAATTTATTATTCAGGTAATTTCTCACTCGTATTATTTATTTTTTTGTTTTTGTTTTTTTTTTTGAAAAAAAAAAAGTTTAACTAAACTATTGTAAAATTTTAGGTTTATTATCAAAAACATATAATTTCTTATACAATTTTACCTACTTTAACTCTTATATCAAGTTTAGTCACATTATGTGTTGGAGTACTTGAAAAAATTTTCATAAATTTTATAAAATATCATAAGAATAAATAACACTACATGCGCATCATCATATCATCCAAAATATTAATATTTAGCAAATAGAAGATATTGAATTTCAAGTATTAATTATTTAATCCTGATCAGTTTCGAATTCAATTTCGTTATTAAATACATATTTTGTAAGAGAATTCTGCATTTCATTTATTATTATAAAAATACATTTATTTTGATTTTCTGCACTTTATCTTTCACAGTACTATTACATATATTTTTCCTGAGAATAGTTGTCAACTTATCGTTATACAGAAGATTTGCAAACTAAATTTAAAATTATATGATGTAGTTTTGAGAGTCGACCTTTCAATAGAAGTGGGGAAACTGCCGGGAAAATGAAAAATGGGTTAATGCTAAAATCTGACCTAGAAATCATACTTTGCATATAAAAGTAAATAGATTTTTGCGGCAAATTCCCTCTTTATATTGCCAAGTCCTATACATATGTTTTTATTATTTGAACTTATTGAAATAGATGATACTGAATATAATTTCGCCTGAAGACACCGTAAGTTTGTATGTAAAATGTTTTCGATATTTGCAGTTAGTCCTTTGAAGATCATTTGACAGGGTGCATGTTGGCAGAATGACTGTTACTGTAATAATTATTTTTTTATAAATACGAGCTATTGTATTTGCATATAAACACCTCAACAAGCCTTCTTTATTCGCTTTCGCTGCCGTTTTATCTTTATAATTTTAATTTGTAACTTCGTTTATTTTTTAATTTCCGATTTATTTTATTACACAATTTTTCGTAATTGCGTAGTTTTAATTAAATAGAGTTTTATTGATTGGCATTTATTTAGTTTAATATATTGACATTGCGAAAGTGCCAATTTTACTCAATTAAAACTTCAGCTTACATTTGAAATTGTTTATAAATACATAAACGAAAAACTGAATACAACAATATTGTATCATCACAAATATGAAAAAGCTCTCCGTTTTCTTACAGAGCGCATTTTTAGTAACATTTTTGGATCTAGACCTTCTTCAGAGCCTCATGTTCTTTCATGATTCGTTTATGGTAAGTTAATATCCAGAAGTAGTTGTAGCATATTAAGAGTTCGTGATGTGCATTTTCATTTCGCTTTTCAGTTAATAATTTTAAATACAAATCAAAAAAAAAAAAAATTCAGATACTCTCAACTTTTTACCCTTCCTTTCTCAAATTTCAGGAATTTGAGTATTATCGGAGGATAGATATAAGTCTAGTCCCAAGACTTATATCCAAAAACTTCTTTGAAGAATTTTAAAACCCTGTCGACTAAAGTCACTTGTCTATTTATATAAAATTGTTAACTAATATTAAACTACTCCTTTCTATAATGATGGATGATAACTAAATACATAATGAAAGATAAACTAAATAATGTAATAGAGATAAAATATATACAAAGTTGATAAAAGTTGTCGTTTTCATTTTCATGATTTTCATGACAATCGGCACATCGATCAGCATAGGTTAAATTTATAAAGTATGAATTCAAATTTTTTTTAAAAAAGTATCCCAACTTTATTTATTCTACAATCAATATTACTTGCAGATTTTTAAGAGATATAATAACAAATATTTTAATGAGAAAAAAACTAGTTAATTATATAAAAATCATTGCATAAATAAATTGATAAAAGAAAAATATGCAGTTTCCAAGAACTGAACATAAGGATGAAGGCGTTTGTCACGATGCGTGCTTGGTTTGAAATGGGTCCACCAGCGAACTGGTAAAAAAACAAGGTCCATGAGCGACTGAGAAGGCGGGCAATCGTCGTAGCAAGAACAAAATACGCCTTCGGCGATAACTGAACCCGCCCGAGTGTAAAAGCTAATATATTCATCGTGCCATTCCTATAATTAATAGTAAGAGAATGTTAAGTATCTATCGGATATTTTCAGAAAATTTATTGCCAATCGTAAGAAATAATGTTCTGATCCAACTTACATTTGTTATATCATCAACAATGACCGGAACAAGCTTATTATTATCATCAGATACTAAAATCTTGGTTTTTCCTGGATGTAAATCTTTGGCAAACATGATAGATAAATTTTCATTGAAGACATAATGAGTGGTTGTGAGCCGTAAATGACCTAAAAGCGAATAAGTAACAGTTATTTTGAGTGTTTTATTTATTTTAACTTATAAATAATTTGAAATAGTACTTTTATAGCCGTCTGGTTTAGTGAAGCTTATCTTGGTAAATTTTTCTTCACGATCGAGTTTGCCAATGTGAGCGATAAGGTAAACATTTGAAAACTCTTCAATATCATTTCTGATGTTTGACAACACTCGATCCCCTACTTGAAGTTCCGACATTCGAACGATTCTTCCAGATTCAAGCTTAACTCGGGTTTCAAGCCAGAAACAACCTCCTTGATTAAGTTTTTTTTGAAGTTCTTCATTTTCTCGTCGAAGGTCACTTATACTTTTTTCAAGATCACTAATTTTTCATATATGCTATCCTTAAGTTTTTCAATTTGTTTATCATTTGCAATACGTGCTCTCTCATCATCTTCAGCCTTTCTTTTCAAGTATTCTGCTTCTGCCCTAGCTCTACCTTCCGTTCGTTTAATCTCATCATATTCTCTCTGTCTCTTTTCTTGTTCTTCCCTTGCAATCCGCACGAGTTCTTCTTGCTCCTTTCGTGTCTTTTCGAGCAATTCGTTTGTATATATTCCATTTAGGTCATAAATAGTATTTTCTAACTTTTCTAGACATTTTTCATGCATTTGAGTACCAGGGGGAAAGATGTCTGGATTCGGAGAAATGGCCCACCGATTACCCATGCGATTGACGAACATGCGAACTTTATCGTTCCAAGACTTTTCAAAATTTTTTGGATCATTTGTATTTTTCTTGTTACAATTCGAGAAGACAGAAATCATGTATAAAAAAGCTTGTTCTCCGAAAAACGTCGATATACCATCGATCACGTTTTTTTGCTCATCCGTAAACCTTTTGGCTTCTATTAACAGCACCGTACAGTTAATCCTAGATTTAACACAACTTGATTTAATAATTACTACTTACCAAAAACAAATAATATGGCCTTGATTCCATAAGCACATCTTTGTACGGTGCGCGCGATTTCTTCCATGATTTCTTCATTGGGCTTTTTGGTATCAAAAATCCCAGGCGTGTCGATAATGTTGTAAGTTTTGTCATTAATTGGTAAACCGCGGAGCTAGATTTGTTGGTTGTCGAATCCTAACATGTTTGAAAAAATTTCGGACCTTGTATTATTTTTAAAACTACATTTAATATTATATTAAGTTCATATCGATATGTTAAATGCTTACAAAATCTTCGGAGACCTTAAAAGCGCAATTTTCATCTTCCGAGATTCTTAGCAAATGATTTCCCAACGTACTCTTACCAGCACCTAAGTAATAAGAATGAATGTTTCCAGCAATGAAGGAAAGGCACAATATCAATGCATACCTGTTTTTCCAACTAAGAGTATAACTGGCGCATTGATCTCCAACGGTGGCAAATTTTCTTCATTGATATCCAACTGGGACAATTTTTCTTCATTTATATCCAACGATAGCGAACTTTCTTTATCCGACGGTACTTTTTGTATCCTTATTAGGATTAAGATTAATGAAAGAATGAAAAAATTTTATGAAGCATAGGTAATAATTGAGACTTACGTGTTATAGAACAACTTATCGATTTATTATAGTCTTCCTTTTTTTTATAAAAAAATGAAAATGAAAAATGACAGAAAAAGAAGTAAAATGTTGATCATGGCAGATTCTTTTTAGATCTAGACCTTATTTAGTAATTCCAAAAAAGAAACTAACGATAATAATAAATTTAGTTTTTTCTCTAAGGGAATTTGTTGTCCTGATTCAGTTAGTTTAAATTGATTAACACTAAAATTTTTAGGTTTATTCCATTAATGGTTTGAACATATGGCCAATATAATGTATCTTCTGATAATTACTAGACAATATTTCCTTGTATGATGTGAGGACGGGTTAAATAAAAAATTTGGTTTATTTAGATATATCGTTGTATTCAGAAACAATTTTGTAATGTAAGCAGAGGGTATTAATGAATAATTATTGAATAAAAATGAAGTAATTGTGACAAATATTTATTTAAAATATCAAATTAATCAGTGTTGCCTCAACGTCGGCGGTTTACACTTTCGCTTGATCAATATTTTAAACTATAAATGCTAAATACTAAATTCTAATTAATTAAGACTACTGTTACAATTAAATGCAAATTCCGGCCGAAATCTTCATAATTTCGCTTGAAAATCGCTCTTGATAATTACAGTTATTCCCTTTGACGATCATTTGCCAGGTTGTCACGGTGCCAGTTTGTCAAGACGCCAGTTTGTCAATGTGCCAGTGTGACAAATGGTCAAAATTCCAGGATGGAATAATTAAAGCTTTTTTATATATACGAGCCGGAAATCCCATGCTCGCCTTTAGCATATTTCTTTGAAAAACATTCCCTTCGCTACCTTCCCTTTACACCTTCGCGATAATTTCGATTTCGCACTTTTAAATTTTATAAATTCGCATTTTGTAACACAGTTTATTATTTTATTTTATTTTTAATTTCCGATTTTATTAGTAGTTTATTATACAATTTTTATGTAACAGTTTCGTAGTTTTATTAATTAGGTGGCATTTACTTAGTTTAATATATTGATATAGCGAATGTGTAGAGCGCCAACGTTGAGGCAACACTGATTAATTTGATCATATAAAATAAATTCTTGTCAATATTACTTCATTTTTATTCAATAATTACACATTAAAACCTTCTGCTTACATTTACAAATTGTTTATAAATACATAAACGAAAGAACTGAATACAACACTACGCAAATTACGAAACTATTACGTAAAAAATGTAATTATAAAATACTAATAAATCGGAAATCAAAAATAAAATGATAAACGATTACATATGCGAAATTATAAAGTTAAAAAGGCGAAAATCGAAATTATCGCGAAGGTGTAAAAAGGATTGCGAAGAGAATGTATTCATATAAATATATTAAGGGCGAGCATGGGATATTGAGCTGTTTTAGGATTTCCAGCTCGTATATATAAAAAAAAAAATTAAGTCAGCTTGGCATCTTGAACATTTGTCATACCGTGACAGCCTGGCAAATGATCATCAAAGAGACTAACTGTAAATATCGAAAGCGATTCACATGCGGAGTTATGAAGATTTCGGCCGGAATTACATTCAATCGCGATACAATTATTTATTAAAAAGATCAATTGACCAATCACCTGAGGCCAGAAATAGTCTAACTAAAATGACAAATTCTAACGAAATTATCGTCTTGTAATTAATGTAACAACAATACTAACGCATAGAATGTGCGGCGAAAGGACTTAAGGTTTTAAGTAGGAAGAAAAGTCCAAACAATTCGTGAAATGGCAGTGGTTCAAATTATATTTAGTTTACCATCAGAAATCTTTGAAATTTTCCTGGCAAACTTATAGGACCAAAGATGATAATACTATTAAGATTTGTCTCCACAATGAAATACCACAGTATGCATTGATGGTTAGACTGGATAGAAAGCAAAGTTGAATACTAAACAATAATATTCAAAGTAATTGAGATTGGCTAAAAAAGGTTTTAATACTGCTTATGTATTTTTAAATCGATGTGGTACAAATATATAACTTGCCAAATAAAACTGAATTCACTATATCTGATATTGATACATTTCATAAAATCGGGTATTACTTAGAATGAGAGTCCACTTAATTTTGCCACGGTTTTTTTTTTGTTGCGATTCAGTCACTTGTTTTGGCTGACTTTGAAATCTGAAATATTTTTATCGAAAATTAATGTCAATGAAAATTAATATCGGGCACAACCATCAAGAAATTTGTCTTAATGCAAATAATTTTAAGGAAACTTTTCATAGAAGCATGATCGGTTGTGGGTGATTTGTGGCTGTCATCGGGTGAAACAATTTTTTGGTTGATAAAAGCCACGAATTACTTGTTTCTGTCAGGTTAAAGATGAAATTTGGAAAAAATCCATTATAAAAAAAAAAAAACAGAAAGTTGACAATTGGTAGAGCTAAGCCACGAATAATACGCTTATGTTGATCTCTTTAAAATCGGTTCAGGTATAAAAAAAAAAAAAAAAAAAAAAAAAAAAAAAAAAAATTGATCGTCAGACATCTTTTAATTAACTTAAAGCTAAGCCTCAATTTTATTACTTATTATATTTTGTGGCTAAATATGCGACTATTATTAATCATACCCGCTAAGCTAATGTTGTTACACGTCTCATTTTTTTTTTTTTTTTTTTATATATATCTTGGTAGAATATATACAATATATAAAGGATGATTGAAGATCTTCTAAACAGAACTTTCTCTCTTAAACCAAAGGAATACAATTAAAATGTTTTACGATACCAGTGACACGGATGAAAAAAGAGGTTTCGTCAGTGAAACCGATAAGAAGGAATGTCCACATGACGGTAAACCAATTACTATGATCGAAATGTCGCCAAACGGCAAATATATTGTTACATATAGTGAAATAGACGATACTGTTGTCGGGTGGAATGTTGACGATAAAGAAGGCAGTCTTGAGCCAATCAAAGCCGATGAAAACGATTCACACATTATACACATTGAACACAAAGAGAGTAAGATCGTTCACATGTGTGTTTCCGATAAAAAGATACTAGCGTATAGTAATGTCGAATATGGATCACGTGTTTCGACTTCTGATCTGAAATCAAATGGTATACATGATCATTTGAGTAAGTACAAATTTGATATCTATAAGTTTTATTATTGTGATTAATTGATTAATTAATGTATTTTGTTTATTAGAAATCATTGATATGAATCATCAGGACCGAAAAATAGAGCTATATTTTAAATATTTTTTGGATAAATTTTATTGCAGCTTTAACGCTAGAGAACAATTTATTTTGTTTGGCGTTGACGGTGATATACAAGAACATAATATTGTCTGGGTCTATTTAACGCGAGGAAACAGATGGATGTGTCAAAAGATTTATACAGTACCTGCAATAACAGAGATAATAAGCATATCAAAATTTGATAAAATTTGGCTACGCTCAGATGATCATATCCATGAATGGAATATTATGAATAAGGAAACGATGGTCATCTCAAGAATCTCACGCGGGGTAATTGGTAATTTTTTTTAGAGAAAAAAAAGAAAAAATATTAGGAACTAATTCTTATTTCTTCAATTAAATAATAATAGATTAAAACGAAAGATATTAGAATTTCTGATTATAAAAAATATACCTGTCTAAAAATAAAGAACAATATCATTGTTTATTCAAGTTTGATGGGGATTCCTATTCCTATCGCTTCGGTGGACTTAAATGATGGTGCGAGTATATTTTATTACACGTGTGCTATAATTATAATTATATTGACGTTTCTGGTAATATTTTTTTTCAGAATTACGACTGTTCAAGTTTATGAAAAATACTCCTGAATTACATTGTTTGCTGCTGACTTTAATAGATCAAAATTCAAACAATAAAATTTTGGATTATATCACAAAGTACTGTCGGAATATTTGCTTAGATCAATTTAAGAAGCATAATCGACCATCCACAGAATACGAGGCTGAAGATTTACCAAACCTTCCTTGCTTATTTTACAATTGCCAATCAAACAACTATATGATTTTAGTTGTAGGAGGATATGTTTGGAAGATTCAAATTGACAAGATTGATTTCGATCTTTCGTTGGAGATAAAGGCTGATTATGATGATCAATTCACGGAAAGTTGGATGACATATTTTGATCGTGATGATAGTGAAAATTATGAAAATCCATTTATTCTAGATATGAACATTGACAAAGATATACTGTTTCTACAAATACCTAAAAGTTATAAAGATGAAGATATTAGATTGGATATTTTCATTCTTAATGAAATTATTGGATTGCGCGTTTTTAATGTTAAAAATGAGCAAATTTGCGAGTTATTCAAAAAAACTAAATATGAAATAAAAGTAGAGATAGAAGAAGTCAAGATATTTAAGACCAAAGAAATTGTCATATCAACAAACTTTGGCGTTTTTATTTTCCATCTAAATGAAAAGAACGAATTAATTTTGGATTATTTTCAATACATACACCATCAACTGAGGCAACAAGTTAACCTTAATTGGTTGAGTAAATTTATGTTCATCTCCAATAAATATCTTGAAGATGATAGAAAACTTCCTATTGATGGATGGGTTGCATACGTAAAGAATGATCGAGAAAATTTTTTAAAACATGGGACGGCATTATTGATGTTTGCTATTGAAGTTCATGATTTAAAATTAATTAATGATATCTATAAGAAATGTTTAAATTATTTTAAACAAGACTTAGAAAGGAATAAGGCGTTTTTAACCATCATTAATTCTTCGATGCCATTTCTGAAGATGTGTTATCCTGAATATCTTTCAAGGTATTCATTAGATACAGCCATGATAATAGATTCTACGGATTATAAGAAAGAACATCTAAATATTTTACATCTTTACCCCTATTCAAAAAATATTAAAACGATTAATTTGACTCGATCGATTTTTATGTCTAAATATAATTTTCAATTGGGAACAATAGATAATGACTCATTTGCATTTCTATTATATCTGTTTTATGTTATCATAGAATGTTTCGCGTTTTTTTTAACATTACCTATTTCCTTTTCGATATATTCCCTTTTAGATGGGTTTCACTTTATTAATAATATTTATTTACATGACGGGTTCCTTTCTTGTTATTATATTATAGTCTATTCGTTCAAAAAAATCTATTCAAAGTTATTTAACCAAGACTTAAGCCCCATGATTACTTTTATGGTACCTTACATCAAATTTGTTAGCTATCCTGAAGAATACACTTGGTGGGAATTAATTCGACCTCAAACTAGTCCATTTGGAGATACGATAACCGAAGAGATTTATAAAACTTGGGATGGTGAAGCATTAATTAATTTCAAGTGGAATGCATACGGAAAATATTATTATGCGATAATTTGGTTCACGTTTAATGCATTTCTCATTTGCTTCGTCATTGCTACAACAATATCCGAAATATCTGATGAAATCAGAACTCAACTTTTAATTGCTTCAACATTTCTTGGATTTATTCACTTGACCGTTGAAATTCGTCAATTTATTTATAGTCCCATTAAATGGTTTCAGGATTATCGAAATTTACTTGGTATTTTGAAAGTATTTTATCATTTATTTTTTGTATTGTTTCTGTGATTGAAAAAAAGAAGTGATTAACCTTTTTGCTCCATTATAGATACGACAGCTTACGTTTTGCCACTAAGTGCCTCCTTTCTTTTGTTTCAGATAGATTACCATAAATATAATGATTACCTTAGTTATTCCACTTTATTTGGATTTGCATGTCTATTTTTGGATTTAAAATTCATATTCTTTTTCAGAGTGTTTGAGCAATTTGGTGTTTACTTTACGATCGTTATAAATGTCGCGAAAAAAATCTTTTATTTCATTTTTCTTTTATTTCTCATACTTATTGGATTTGCTCATGCTTTTTATATTCTTTTAAAGCCAAGAGAACGAGAACGCGTTAATTTAGATGAACGTGTAGAAAGTAACGACACCAATAATCCCTGGAATATGGTTGATGCTTATTACCAAGTACTACCGAATGGATCGATTAGTAAAGAGCCATTCATAGTTCAAAAGCCTGATGAAAATACAAACATGTTTTCCCATTTTAAAACCGCGCTACTTGCAATGTACTTTTCTCTAACGGGTACATACATAAGTATTTTTAAACGTATCATTTATTAATCATTCGAATGTTTAATACATTATTTTACTCGAAAATCTATTATAGGTGATGCAAGTGCCATGAGCAAATGGATATACGTAGAAAATCCATTCTTTGTCGCGATAATGAGTGGGTTCTCATTCTTGGTCGTTGTATATCTCATGAATTTGCTCATCGGTTTGTTAAATATAGAGATTGGGAAAGATGACAATCGAGTTTCGTATTTGTTGCAAAAAGCAGAGGTTATTTTTATTTTTATTTGAATCCATATAAATATATTGTTTTGTTTTAAAAAAAATTTTATTTTATCTATTCCTCTTTTAATAGATTTTGAAAGAAATTGAAATGTTTTACATGTTACCACATCAAAGGCGTTGGAAATCTTGGTTCCCGGACACCATGTAAGTGATCGTCGTCAACTCTCTTTTCATTCTTTATATTCTTTGTTTAATGCATTAATTAATATCGTTTACCTTACTTAGTTATTATTACGCTAATGTTGATACATCGCGTAGAAAGGTTAATGAGTTAATTAAGAATGATGAATGGAGACCCGAAGAATTTCCAGAGATGAAGAGAAACTTGTTAAAAATCCTAGATGTTCAAGATAATTAGATTTTTTTTTTTTTTTGTCCAAGATAAAACCGGGTGCATTTGTTATAAGCACGTTTTCTATGTTTTTAGACTATATAGATATACAGTAAATAAGTATATAGATAAAGAACCTTTAGTTCCAATGTATCACAAGAATTGATATTAAAAGATGTCGGTCTTTTTTATACACTGTGTATATAGTTATAAAGCAACGGGGTTAAATAAAAATGAAGTTGAAAGGATATTTTATATTTTGGAGAGGTTATAAATAAATTATAATATAATTTCAATATAATTTATATATTTTAAAAAGGTCTGCTGCGACAAAGTATTTATTATAACATTACAAGTAAATAAATATGTGTCAAGTCATGTGTTAGCAAGATGGCAATCATTTAATTTATTTATATAACTATATATGTGAACAATTTGTTGATTGTAAATTTGACGCAGTAAAATGTGCGACAAATAAATCGGACTGATTACAAATTGATATTCTAGTTGTTTATGTTATAAAGTTGTTAACATTACTTGTCATTTTATATTTATAGTTCAAAACGCGGAATTTTTGCGAAAAAATTTACCACGCGCATTTATTTTGTTAATCATAAAACACATGAAATCATCACACAGAGGGATTTTATTTTTGATTGAGTTGTTCATGTATTAAAAGTTTAATATTCATAAAATGCTGTTTCCTTGTATTTGATTGATAGGAATAAAAGGATTAAGGTTTTTCCGAGTATGCTAAATCCGAAAATATCCTTGTAATTGGGCGGGCAGGTACTCGTTAACAAAAAAGGATTCTATAATTAAATATGCTTAGATCAAAAAAAAAAAAAAATAAATAAAAAAAGGAGAATAATGATTTTGCGCTCACATTGTATATTGGAGTAATAGTCATCATGATAGGTTCAGTTTTTTTTTTATTTTTTTTTTTTTTTTTGAGGAATCGACGTTGCGGGAACAATCAAAAACAATAATAAATTATACGGAATTTTTTTTTTAAACAAAAATTCGTCAAATTTCAGCATAAATATAATATGAAGTTTATCTACCGCCCTGCCATTCATCAATTTTTTTTTTTATTACTCGTGTACAAGTCTTATTATTCCATTACATCTTTCGAACATTTCTAAAACATTTCTCAAAGGATGAGCGATGAACTACAAATATTCCAATATACTTTTAATGAAGATAATGAGACAAGACAACCAAAAAGGAGGTTGCCAAACATGTTCATTTCCTATCGCAAAGAAATGATGAAGCATAAGCCTCCTAAGATGCTGTTAACCCTACGCTCAACCGTCGAACTTAGGGCAACTATGACTTAATAACAGGGAGTAACGTGCGAGAAACTACTA